CGCTCTCCCACCGCCCGGTCTCGGTCGCTGTTGGAGCGCCCCCGCAGGAAGAGATGGGAAAGACGCTTTGCACGAGACTGTGGACCTGCCGGCCGAGGCCTGAGGAGGGCCGGCGGGGGGGGCGGGGGGGGGGGGGGCAGCCCGTGCCTCTGCTGCCGCTCCTGCGGAAGCGGCGGAGACGGAGGCGGTGATGACGACGAGCAGCCGCTCTCCGCGTCCGAGCGCGGACTGAACTCTGCCGCCACGCTGCCCGCCTTGGACACGGGGCTGCCGGGTCTGTGGGACAGCAGCGAGTCGATCCCGAAACTGGAACCGTTCGTGGCCTCCATCATGGTCTCCTGAGGTTTGTCCTCTCCTCAAACCAACATCTGGTCCTTCAGGGTTCTTAAAGTTGGACGTGAGGAGTTTGTGAGTCTGAGTTTGATCCCAAAAAAAACTTTCCGTTTACTTTTAAAGCCCCGAAATAATACCAGCAAATAATTCTTCAAATTACTTAAAAACAGAGGGGATTGAGAGTCATAATTCCAGCGGAGTCTTCACACACAAATACACCATGACGGTCATCCGCTTCCCTTCTTCTTCCTCTGTCTGAAGATGAGGAAGAGATGAGTCCTGCGGAACCGGATCACACCGCAGCAGGGCGTCACTGTCAGTTCTTCCTAGGATCAGCTGCTCCACTTCAGGCTCTTTATCGTCAAAAAGAGGGAGAAAACAGACAGAGGAGTTTTCGTTTCTCTTCGATGAAAATGTTGTCGTCTGACTTTCAGCACCGCGGACAGCGACGCACCTGCAGCAGCAGGAGGAAGATCAGGAAGAAGAGAAAAGTAAGAAAAGTCTTCACGTACTTTTCACCAAAACTGGATTTTAACACGAAGCCGAGAGAGAGGAGGAAGAAGAGGAGGCGGAGGAGAGGAAGACTCTACAACCGCGGAAGAGACGGAGACGAGAGTGAGATGGAAAGACAGAAAAGAGAGAGGGAGAGTGAAGGAGGTAAAGTGGGTTAAAGAGTCACAACTGGAGAGTTGAGAAGAAAAACACGCGTTTCTGTGCGTGAACTGAGCTGCGTGATGGGAGTGAACGAGGGAGGAAGCAAGGGTGAGCGAGAGAGTGGGAGAGAGAGAGAGAGAGAGCGAAACAGAGAGAAAATTCCCAAAAAAACTAAGGTTGAAGGAGGAAAAAAGTGAAGCAGCAGCAGCGGGTTTTAAGAGCGGCCTGGATCACGTGACCTGGTCTCCCTGGTGAGCTGTCTTGATTGGCTGCGGAGAGGAGGTTAGGATACGCCCTCTCTCTCTCTCCCTCTCTCTCTGTCCCTCACACACACAGACACACACACAGTGACAGAATCAGTGGTTCATTCTCTGGAGACTTGGATCCAAATGTTTACACAACATTTTCACGCTGTTTGACTTCCTGACGTCACTGATGAGCCTGATAATGAACTCATTATTATTCTTTGTTTTTTTTCTTCGTTATCATCATCATCATCATCATCATCATCATCATCATCATCATCATCATCATCATCATCATCATCATCATCATCATCATCATCATCATCATCATCATCATCATCATCATCACCACCAGAGAATCATCTTAGTTGTTTTTGTGTTGTTTTCAAACACCGTCTTTGTCCTCATCGCTGATGTTGTTTTTTTATTTTCATGATTTTATTTACTTTAAATCAAAATTACGTTTAAGTTTAATGTCCTTGAGTGGAAAACGACAACCAGAAATATTTTGATTCTTTTTTCTTTCCTGAAATGATTTTTGTCCTATTCGCTTATTTCCCTTTCCTTTTAAAAATATTTTCTGATTTTTATTTTTTAAACACACATTATTATTATTAAGTGGGTGTTCGTTACTTTTTAAACATTTTCTGATTTTTATTTTTTTAACACACATTATTATTATTAAGTGGGTGAATCCAGTTATAATGACCAAAAATAAAACTTATTTTTAACGAGTTTTATTTTGAGGTTTTGGAAATAGTTTCAAAATATGTTTCAAGATTTTTTTTAAATGACATATAATAATAATAATATAGTTAAAATCGTAAAAAGAAAAACAGAAAGAGGAGAAATATACTTTGTTTTTATAGTCAAATGTCGTAATTATTTAATTCAGGTTTAAATATGTTTCTGTATATAGTTTTAGTGTTGATCTATATTCGTTTTACAATTACCTACAGCGTAATAATGTTTACATTTTAAGCTTTATATTTTACATATTTAATAGTTTTTATTTTGAAAGCTAAAGTATACACTGTATCACCCTCTGTTAATGATATTTTCAAAAACACAATTTTTGATCGATTTTATTTTATTTTGTTTTGTTCAGTTTGGTCGATTTTTAACTCTCTTTGTATTAAACCTACTCGAATATCAAAATAAAACGGTAACGCACTATTATTACGAACAAGTCAACATTTTCCCGTTAAAATTGTAGGTTTTTACCCAAAGTATTTGTGGAGTAAACAGGTCAAATGTTGAAAAAGACATGTCGTAAATAATGAATCATTTAACGCACAATGACGCATTTTAAATGCGCCTAATTATGCGCGACAGTTGGAGCAGCGTGGTGGCGCGAATAGAAGAAAAAAAAACTTAGACTTTCTTCACCTTAACATGCGTGAAACTCAGCAGCGTGCTCGGGTTTTAATCTGCTTTTTAAACAGCACTTTGTCCTGCACACACACACACACACACACACACACACAGCGAAGATGGTGAGCACGCCGGGCTCCCCAGCTCCCCCTCCTCATCCACCACCTCCTCCTCTGAGCGGCAGATTGGAGGCGCTGCTCAGACACCGGCAGGTCACTGAATCCTCCTCCACTGAGCCACAGCCACGGCTGCAAGCTGTCACCGCGCACACGCACACGCACACGCACAAACAAACACAGACAGAGAAGGCCCTGACTTGGCTCTTTTCTTCTTCTTCTTCTTCTTCTTCCTCTGCTGCTGGAGCGTGAAAACAGCAGCAGAGGTTCCAGGCTTCAAACCCACAACCTTTGACGCATATTTAAATCATATCATTAAACTGGAAAGTGCTTTTTAATGTGTGGACAACTGATACATGTCTTTGACCCCGCACCCCTTTCTGATCCTTCAGAAGACCTTTGGACAGGTTGGTCTAAAGATGGGCCCTGGGCCCAGTAATGGCACATGTGCATGTTTATATGTGGTCCATGAAGTATTTCCTTTAGAAGAACTCACGTTGATTTTAAGAGGGTCGTCGTCAGGGTGTTTAAAGGCTCAGAGTTCTACTGCTCTCAATCTGCTCACAATATCTTCACAAGTGCAGTGCAACATTTGACTCTGTCTGAGAAGGCACCGACGTGTGTGTTCACCTCAGTAATGATGGGGAAAAAAACAACCTGTTTGTGTATCACAGCTGGTAACATCAGTCAGTCAACACTACTACACGCTCCCTGACTCTGAGTGTGTGTGAGTGTGTGTGAGTGTGTGTGTGTGAGGACATCATTGATCGGACTTAAAGAGAGGAAAGAG